AGAAATACACTCAGTGTTGGCAAAATGTTAATCTGATTAACGATTAAAATGTTAATCGTGATTGACGAAAAGAGGCAATCAAAATTAAATAAAATATCCCGGTGCTTTAGAAATCGATCTTGAAAATGCGTAACGAAAAGATCTTTGTACGGTATTTAAATCGCGATTCGGTAATACTCTTAAAAATGCTTCCGAGTGATATGAAGCTTTTGTGTTCCGTTACCTTGTATGTTTGCTTGCGTTATCTGGCTAGTTCTCTGCTGATATTCATTGAATTATTTTGCCAAGCCATACCTAAATAGAGAAGCGAAGGATATGCTGGACCACATAAGGGAAAAATTCTGTATAAAACACGGAAATCCGAAGTTTTTCTCAGTTTTAATGGATAATCGAAGATTCATCGTTATGTGCGATATTGAAAACATCAACAAGCTTTCCTCCAAATTTCAGACTTTTTAATCATAATTAAGAAAAATTTAGAAAATTACAATGATTTTGACTTTCGGATATAAGGTTCTTTAATTCGAAAAATTTAATTTTTTTGATCACATCTTATCGCGATTTTACGAATTTTAGCAAAAGCTTTGAGTGATAAAATTAAGTAATATGTAACTGAAAACAAAAAATCGTAATAATAAACTTTTTGGGACCAGCAGAAAACAAAATAACGTTTATTTTACGTCCTTACTTCAAACACGTTCGATTAGTACTCTGTTAGCTCTTGTGAAATTTGGTCAGCAACAAGCATTAGTAGCGTTCCCTAACTCGCAAAAAGTTGCAAGATTTTGCATGAATTTACCAGAAAGCGTTCCCGTGCTTTGTTCTCTAGCAAATTAGGGGAAATATGGTAGAGTAAAATTTGTAATCTCTTTGTCAGAAGTTGGAAGATTTTTTTTTTTTGTAAAATCTGGTAAATTGTCAAAAAAACGAATTAAAAGTTGAATAAGCAAAAACAAAAGTGCATCTGCATTTTCACCTTATAAAATAGATATGTACGTAGCGAAGAAATATCAAGTTTTGTATTAAGTTTTGTGTTAAGTATTTTTAATAATTAGTTTGTGTATTTGCTTATAATTCATCATATCGCCAAATGATTAAACAAAAATGCTATGTAAACCAAAAATGGCGTTTGCGGTGCATTTCTCAGTTTTACCAGTTTTTTTCTTTCTCTTTGAGCATTTTTGCCTTTTGACAGTTTTACAGGTTTTATACAGAAAAGTTGAGGAACGAAACAATTGTTTTCACGCGAAAATTCTACATCAACTTAATTGTAAAACAATTAAAACGTCAAGACGTGAAATTCATTATGATTAAAACACATTGAAAAATAGGTTACGGACTACAGTTGTCAAACTGTTTTAAAACGTACTCTTCTGTACATACCCAATAAACACCAAAAAAATATTTATCCAACCTTGGAGAAATTCATAGTTCTCAAGTTGATATCCAACATCATTCTCCAACTCATCTCTAACCAACGCGCAGATACGTAAAAAGTGATAGAGATACGAATTTTTAATTATCAAGTGAAAAACTAAACCTATATAGAGGGGAAAACGACCAACGAAAAGTAAATAATCTTCAAAGTATCCTCAAATATTCTTGAAAGAAAATAAAACGCCAAGTGAATCAAGGTGCAAAATTACTGTCGGACTGTATACTGTGAAGTGAATTATTGTAATACGATATTGATTAACTACATAATACAAAAGGAGTAATAAAATGAAAAATTAATATTTAAATTCATCTATATATGTCGTTTCAATCAAAAAGGTATAAGATATTTTACTATTTTAATTTCAGTATTTCAATGATATGTTTGAGATCAATTGGAGAATTACATTAGAGTTCAAGTTGAGAACTAGCATTTTCTCAACATGAGAAACAGTCCTTTTTTCATACAAAGAAAAATACCCTTTTTGTTGAGAACGCTATGATCCTCCACTTGAGGTTCTGTTGAGAAACAACGTTGGAGATTTGAGAAATACCTTAGTTCTCAACTTAACCTCAAGTTAAGCTCAAACCTAAATGTTTATTTCTATTTTCCGAACGAGGTTCTTACTTTTCTTTTATATCAAACTCATACAATTTCATGATGTATCTGCCGCGTTCAAAAAATTCATGTCGCCAACGTCAAAGCGATAGCGATGTTTAACCTGCTAGTGCTAACCAGACATTAAGAAACTGGCTCCCATGCATATAACAGGGATTCGGTAACGTTGATAACGATGTTTAACCTTCTGCTTCTTTTTTGGCGCTATAACCGCCTAAGCGATTTCGGCCGAGTTCAGCAAAGCACGCCAGTCGTTTCTCCTCTGTGCCAACTGACGCCAATTGGAAACGCCAAGTGAAGCCAAGTCCTTCTCCACCTGATCTTTCCATCGCAGTGGGGGCCTCCCTCTTCCTCTGCTACCACCAGCGGGTTCCGAGTTGAATACTTTCAGAGCTGGAGCGTCGGTGTCCATTCGAACGACATGACCAAGCCAGCGGAGCCGCTGTATTTTAATTCGCTGCACTATGTCCATATCGTTGTAAAGCTCATACAGCTCATCGTTCCATCGTCTGCGGTACTCGCCGTCGCCAACGCGTAAAGGCCCGTAAATCTTCCGCAAAATCTTTCTCTCAAACACTCCAAGAGCCGCCTCATCGGATGTTGTCATTGTCCATGCTTCTGCGCCATATACCAGCACGGGCATGATGAGTGACTTATAGAGCGTGGTTTTCGTACGTCGAGAGAGGACTTTACTCCTGAATTGCCTACTCAGTCCAAAGTAGCACTTGTTGGCAAGAGTGATTCTGCGTTGGATTGCAATGCTGACATTATTATCGGTGTTAATGCTGGTTCCCAAGTAAACGAAATTCTCTACTTTCTCGAAATTGTAACTGTCAACAGTGACGTGGGTGCCAAGGCGTGAATGTGCTGACTGTTTATTTGATGACAGGAGATACTTCGTCTTGTCCTCGTTTACCACCAGACCCATTCGCTTTGCTTCCCTATCCAACTTGGAACAGAACAGACTTCGCGGTTTTTGTTACCGATGATGTCGATGTCCTCGGCATAAGCCAGCAATTGCACGCTCTTGTAGTAACGATGTTTAACCGGAGGTTGGTATTAAAAAGACATGAGAAACTGGCCCTGAGTTTTTTTATTATTTTATTTTATTTATTAAAAGTTTAATTTTATTAAAAAAGTTCTCAACTATAATTATATAAACAAACCGTAAAAGTAATGATTGAGTTCATTTAAAAAAATGTTACTGAAATTATTCTGGCCGGGTGAATCGAACCCAAGATCTCGCGGATCAGATCAATTGCGCCGTTAATCGGGATCAACGTTGCCGTCAGTCTATGCTTTTAGCTGCAGGACTTAATCCGGATCAACTGCAGTTAATTCCCGAGAATATTCCGAATTAACGAGTTGATCCGGAGCAACATTGACGTCTGCCTATGCATTTAAATCCGCGACCAGTCATCCAGGAATATGTCTCTTTTGAGCGGTTATAAAAATAAGCGAATTACATCGCGCCCAAATATTGTATTTATACTATACATTTACTTTTGCCTTATCTTGTCTCATCAGTCCACGTACATACAGCATCGAATGTGGTTTCTTGCATAATGTTTAGATCACTGAACATTAAAATTTAAAAAACAATAGTTTTAAATTTGATAATTTCATTCGGACTCAAAAGATCTGTTCCAGCTCTCAAATTACTCGTTCAGTTAAATTATATGCATAATTTTAAAAGCACTATCGAATTCTTAAAAAACCATGCTAGTGAGATGTTTGAAAAATTATGCCTGGCTGATATCTAGATATTGCATGTGAAATTTACGCGAATAGTTATGTATAATGGAACCACAGAATAAACAGTATACAGAAGACGCATGTCAACTATCGAACCAATAGTTGCGATCCCGTATGAGTCCGGACTAGTCAGAATCAGTCAGATTTTACTGGAAATCGATCCCGTACTCGGTTCTCTGACTATTGAGAGGACAAAAAAGAGAGTAAATACGGTTCTCTCTCTGTCAGAAGTTACCAGTTTTAGTCCGAGAATTTTTTGCTGGTAAATTCTGGTAAATGTGTCAAACGATCAGCTGTAGTGTGTTTGGCAACCAAATTGTAAAGAAAAGAAAAGTGCACTCTGCTAATTTATGTTGAAAAGTATTTAATTACTTGTTTAAGTGGATCCTAATGAATTTGAAAGTATTTTTGGTTATTTACATGTGTGAGCTAAGTGTGTTTACATACAAAATATGCAAAAATTTACAACCAAAATTTGGAGGTTATGTTGAAGTTGACAGAAGTTACCATTTTTACTAGAAAGCGATCCCGTACTTTTCAATGTTACTCTCTCGCTCTGAGCGAATTTTTATTTTTTGACAGTTTTACTAGTCCGAGTCCGAGGAATACGGGATTGCACCTAATTTGAATTTATGGCACGAGCGGTTGAGGCAAGCAAGGGTATCACAAGCGGCGCTGCCTCTGTTACTTTAGCAGTATTTTCACTCGGCTGGCGCTGTTAAATAACTTCGTTTGCCATCGCGATGTGTGTTTGTGGTGCTTTGCATCCAAGAATGATAGAATACAAGCACGATTGAGAGAAATAGAGATTGCGCCGATCACGGTACCGCAAATCCGCTCTTTGAGATTTTGACAGAATCAGCCGTATGCGTGACGTTATCTTTTTTTTTTTTTGGGTTCTTGAGTTTGTTGGCGGGACCAGGTCCCTAGAAAGCCAGGTTTTCCCTCCAATTTCGTGTTCTCCTCTGGATTACTACACGACCATGTAGTAATATTTGATTGGGACGACGAAGGTCCTGAATGAGCGAAGTAGCCTGGAAGGCTGTGATGTACACATTAGCGTGTGTAACGAATGTAGCCGGCAATATATAGTTCTTGTGTTATCATCAACTTTTAATTGATTTCTTTAATTTTGTTTTATATTATTGTTATTTTTATTTTATTTTTTTTATTTTATTTTTTCAGTACAGGGTGTGGTGGACGGTATTTCACCACGGATAAATACGCAAATAATATACAAATTTATTAGAATTTTACTTCCGCTTTAATTAGAAAATTAGCAAGTGAGGTGATTTTGCGTCTATCGAAGCCGTGAAAAATATCATGGAAATTCTGATTATCTTGAAAAATATCGAAGCCCTCCCTAATGTGGCCCAAGAGGGGACAATGAAAGGTTTGTTGAATGAAGTTATCTGGATCTCCACAGCTGCAACGGCTGCTGGTTATAGCTTTGATTTTGAAAAGATACTCCTGATCATAAGTATGACCCGTGAGGATCCTGTTTATTAATTTAGTTTCTTTTGCTGACAAGGCAGTGGACTTGAACCAGTTATTTTTGGGTTTGGCACTGAAAATTTGAGCAAAAAGGTTCGGTTGAACATCCGAATATGCTAAAAAATCAGCATACCATTGATCGTTGATTTCGTTACGGATACGCCTGAGTGCTTCTTCAGGAGTAAGGCTAACATCGAGTACATTGTGACAGTTAATGGCGTTCTTGGCGATTGTGTCAGCTCTTTCATTGCCTGCTATGCCTTTGTGGCTTGGGGTCCA